TGCCTTGATCCAGTGAGTTAAAGAACTTTAACAGTGATTCCTGGTGTTGATCTCAAACATATTATTTTATCTTTTTTATTATTTTAGGGTAACTTTGGAATGTTCTCTGTCTTAGTGGGTTTTGCTTCATGGTATTAGAAGTGTAACCTCTAGTTTCTTAGGAGGATTAAATGAAGGAATGGCTTTGCCTTCCCAGCACCCATCAAAGTGGCCTCTGAGCTTTACTTCACAGGGTCCTGTGTGGGCTTCACTTTCTTCTGTCCAGCCAGACTGCCCTTTCACCTGCCTCTCTACACATAGACACCCTGTCTACTGCCCATGTTCCATCCTCTGGGAAGCCTTCCACACAGCCTTGACATAATTAACCACACCTGGTTTCCTGAGTCCCAAATTTTATAATGTAGTCTCTCTCCCAAATTACCTTCCCCAGACAACTGGACCCCTTGAGGGCAGATGCCAGGCTTGGTCAGACTTGGGTTCTCGGCTAACCAAGCTCAGGGCTTGATGGACGGCTCACACTCAGTCTGTTTCATGAATGAGCAGCTCAGAGAACTGATGATGTTCCTTCTTGTTTCTACTTTAGGGCATTCTTCTTGAGCACCGAGAAAAAGAATTTGGAGACAAAGTGAACCCGCTTTCTGTTCTGGAAGCTGCAAAGAAGATCAAACCACAGACTCAGGCCTCAGAGAAAAACTGATCATGGGCAGCTGCTGCCTCGTGGAGAGCTAGGCTTGCACCTGTGTGCACTGGAGGACTTGTGTTTCTACCATGGCCCTGAGGAGTTAGAAACCCCTGGCACCATATTCTCACTAGAGATTAGTCATGTACTTTAATATTATTTTCCATTTAGTATGAGTAAGGCAAAGAGGTCCCAAACAAAACTGATTACAATGTAACAAACCAGTGAGAGTCATTTCAGGAAAGACTTGGAAAATCCAAGGTTTAAAGTTAACTGCTGTACCTCTGTACAAATGTGCATTTGAGTGCTGTTATCTGGTGATTTTTATTTTCATATCTTCAAAAATCTCAAAAGAAGAAAAACTTTCTCAGCATGCACAAGGTCCTGGGTTCAATCCCCAGAGTCATACACACACACACACACACACACACACACACACACACACAAAACCCCCTCAAAAAAATCTAAGAAAAGCTTGATTGACTTGAAAATTAGAGAATATAAGGTTTTTGGTTTATGTATTTACTGTGAATGACTTGTTATATAATGTCAAAGTAATTAATCTGTAAAGGAATTGATGTGTTATGAGATAACATGAAGTATCCTGTTTAATCATTTTCTGTTCTAAACTCTGAAATTTGTTTTACTGGAGGAAGCTGTCACTTCTGGCTCTAATAAATTATGCATCAGAAGTCATCTTTGTGCAAAAGTTTTCATCACCTACCCATCACCCCTTGCAGCTTTTAATTTTTTTATTTTTTATTTATTTCTCTTATGAGTGTTTTGTCAATGAGCAGCACAGCAAATGACATTGCTGCAGTACTGGCACTTTTTTTTTTTTTTTCAAGACAGCATCTCCCTGTAGCCCCAACTGGCCTAGAACTTGCTATGTAGACCAAGCTGTCCTTCAACTCACAGTGCCTCATGAATGCTGGGATTAAAGGTGTTGCGCCACCATGCCCAGCCTTAGTAGTAGCACTTTTGTCTTGGGGGTAATCAACAGCTACCTAATTGGACTTAAAGCCCACTCAATGGGAGGAAACTCATGTGTGGTACTGTAAACCTAGCCAAATATACATAGCTGGAGAGGTCATAGATCTTAAAAAAAACAAAAAACAAACAAAAAAACCTCCAAGGCTGTCACATCCCTAGGCAAATATAATTTCTTACTATGTGCAAATTATGGATCCTTCAATTTATAGACAAGTAATGCACTTGGCACTACACAAAGTTTTTCTGATAATGAATAATAAAAATATTTGTCATATCATTGACTGAAAGTAAAAAAAAATCTATATTTTCCAGGTATATACAGTAGGGAGGGGTGACTCTATCGGCCATGATCTAAGAAGTTTGAAAATGATCAAAAACCACCAGATATGATAGCACGTGCCTTTAATCCTAGCGCTCAGGAGGCAAAGGCAGGCAGAGCTCTATGAGATCAAGGCCAGCTGGTCTACATACCAACTTCCAGGCCAGCTGGGGCTATAGGGAGACCCTCTCTTAACCTTCCCCTCAAAAAAAGAAAATTATCAGAAAGATTCATTCTGTCATCTTGTTAGTCATTTGCTGTCTTCTCTGGAGGAATGATTCTGGCAGTTAAATTTGGTAGCTGCTTTCATGTTGGTCTTGTAACCTAATCCACTGTCAGGTGACAGAGCATACATAAGATTAAATAGATCTCCCATTCATTCATTGGATATGTTTGAATTTTGTCTTGTAAGTATAAGGTCAGAAGAAATCAAGGAGAGCCCTCTTCTAAGGAGTCTCAACCAAGATACCAAGTGGCTCAGAGGGAGGGGGAGAGGAATGAGAATCAGAAGAGAACTAGGCTAGACTGGAGGAAAGGATTTTGCCCTCTAGGAAAATTCAGAAAGAGACAGGCTAGAAGTCAAGCCAGGAAAGTAGGAGAGGTAGGGACTGAGTTTGCAGTAAATAGGGGCAGGTGAATCAGGACCAAGATCAGATTTGGCTCTGATGATGGCTTCCTGAAGTGTACACAGCTCATGCTGGGCTGGGTTTGCAGCTTTTGCAGCAACATCCTTTGGCACTTGCTTACCTAGGGTCGATATGACTTTTCTCCCAGAAGCTGTGATCCCTGGGCATCCAGGATGAGATAACGAAATCAAGTTCTTTGGTGACTCAGAACACACCAGATGGCCCCGAAATAGTTCTCTCTTGCAGTTAAAGAAAAGCAAAACTTGAACTGGAAAGATGGCTCAGTGGGTAAAGTACTTGCTGTTCTTCTAGAGGACTTGAGTTTTGTTCCCAGCACCTATGTTGGGCAGCTCACAACCACCTGTAACTCCAGGGGATCTGACACTCTTTGGCCTTCCAAGGGCACTAGCATATTGTAGCATACATTCACACAGACAAATATGCATACATAAAAATAAGTCTTTTAAAAGAAAAGGAAAATAAAAGCAAAACTGAGATGGGGAGATGGATTAGTGAGTCAAGTGTTCTCTGTTTGTACATGAGGACCTGAGTTCAGATTTCCAGCACTCATAAAAAGCTGTGCATGGGGCCTGGAGAGATGTCTCAGCAGTTAAGAGAACTGGCTGTTTTTGCAGAGGACGTGGGTTGGGTTTCCAACACCCACACCCTCTTCTGGCCTTCATGGGCATTGTGTGACATGGGTGCACTTACATGCAGGTAAACACTCATAAATTTTTTTTAACTCTTGCATTGTTTTATTACATATGCACACATAAATGTGTATATAAATACAGATATATATGGGGAGAGAGAGGGGGAGAGAGAGAGAGAGAATGAGAGAAATGTAAAGAGTATCCCACTGTAAGGCTGTTCTGGAACTCACTATGAATGTAGCCAAGAATGGCCTCAAACTCATAGCAATCCTCCTGCCTCAGCCTCCTGACTGCTGGAATTACAAGTGTGAACCACCATGCCTGCTTCCTGCATACTTAAAAAAAATTTTTAATTGAGTTTTTGTGTATTTCATACAGAAAATCTTTGTACCCCCTTCCCCTTTGGCACCTCCTATAGCCCCATTGGAGTTCATAGAGTCTGTCGTTTGTGTTAAGGTCTATCATGTAAAGTTAGTTTCCTCAGATGTTCCTCAGTGCAAGTTCATCCACCCAGATCTAGTCAGCCTATCCAGAGTCCCTCCCTTTAAGAAGATCAGCTCTTCCTCACCCAGCAGTAATCAGCTGCCAACAATTTTTCGGCTAAGATTGGGGCCTGCTGTTCATTTTCACAGTTCTGTGCTGGGTTTTTGTCTGTTTAAGTTTGCATGGGTCTTGTGCATGCTGACACCATTGCTATAGGTTCATATGAGAAGAGTCCCAGGAGTCTGTGGGACTATTTCCGTATGGTCATGCATCTCCTCCCTGGCTCTTACAGTCTTTCTGTCACCTCTTCTGAAATGGTCCTTGAGCTTAAGGTGGGTGGATTTTAATACAGGAGTCCTGTCCAAGGACTCACACTCTGTAGACTCTTATTCTCTGTGTTTTGGCCATTTGTGACCTTTTGTGTTCCTGGCCCTCTGTTGCATGAGGGAACTTCATTGATGAGAATTGAAAGATGCATTACTTGTCTATAAATTGAAGGATCCATAATTTGCACATAGTAAGAAATTACATTTGCCTAGGGATGTGACGGCCTTGGAGTTTTTTTTTTTTTTAAGATCTATGACCTCTCCAGCTATGTATATTTGGCTAGGTTTACAGTACCACACATGAGTTTCCTCCCATTGAGTGGGCTTTAAGTCCAATTAGGTAGCTGTTGATTACCCCCAAGACAAAAGTGCTACTACTAAGGCTGGGCATGGTGGTGCAACACCTTTAATCCCAGCACTCATGAGGCACTGTGAGTTGAAGGACAGCCTGGTCTACATAGCAAGTTCTAGGCCAGTTGGGGCTACAGGGAGATGCTGCCTTAAAAAAAAAAAAAGTGCCAGTACTGCAGGAATGTCATTTGCTGTGTTGGTCATTGACAAAACACTCATAAGAGAAATAAAAAATAAAAAATAAAAAGCTGCATTCTTGTAATCCCAAGTGCTAGGAAGTAGAGACGGAGGATCCTAGGGCCTTGCTAGCCAGCCAATCCTGCCAGTGAGCTTCAGGTTCAATGAAAGACAGTGTTTGAAAGGTAAGGGGAGGAGGCTAGAGAGATGGCTCAGTGGTTAAAAGCATTGGCTGCTCTTGCAAAGGACCTGGGTTCAGTTCCCAGCACCCATATGGCAACTAACAAGCGTCTGTAACTCTAGTTCTAGAAGATCCAACACCCTCTTTTGGCCTCCACAGACATTGCATGCAAACAAAACACTCATACATATAAAATAAAAATAAATACAAAAATTTTAATTAAAAATAAACAAGTGGAGGGCAGAAGGGGCAGACACCCAATTTCGGTCCTTATCTGTCACACATTCACCCACAGGTGCATGTGCTTCTACACACATGTGAACATACAAAGACACACAAATACATTTTTAAGAGGGCGAAACTCAAAAGAGCATTTCGCTGATGGATGCATACATGGACATCTCTGTGATCTCACTCAACAGCTCTTTTCTCTTGGGGTCCTCACATTCCAGTCTTCTCTCTCCTGTTACTATGCATTGTGGAGAAAGCACTGGGTTGAGCCATGAAGTGAGCTCAATTTCTAGTTTACTGTGACTTTAAGTAAAGCTCTGATCCTCTGCACTGGTAGAGTGAGTGTAAAAACTCCAATTTGCCATTCAGAGCTGTTTATAAAAAAAAATTACTGAGAATTATGCCAGTCTTTCTCTAACATACTGAAGCATCTCATTAAAATGAAGACTTGAAGAAAAACAAAGGTGGACACTAAAGGCAGTAGAGGAAGATTTCCTTCTTAGGAGACAGTAGGGCATAAACCTTAGTAGAGCCCCAGTCAGCTCTGATCTGTGCAGAAGTGAGTAGGAATTTTAAAGGGAGAATGAGGGAGGAAGGCACAGAAGGGGCTGGAGTAGGGTCAGAGACATGGAAAATTACAAAAACTGGTGCTGGTGGGGGGTAGAGAAGGCTGTATGTGGTGACTTTTTTTGAACTTAGACTTCTAGCCTCCCAGGAGTCTAGGAATTAGGGTACCTTTCTTGACAACTACATTTTAAGTGAGTGGCTCCAGGTCCTTGTAGAAACCCTGGCTTGTAGGAAATAACATATGTATCTAAAGAGACAGAGAAAGGATTGGTAATTGAAAATTTGACATTTTTTTTTTTTTTTTTTGAAATATGGTCTCATGTAAACCATGTAGCTGATAATGGCCTTAAACTCCTGATCTTTCTGTCTCTACCTCCCAATTGCCAGGAGTCCTGTGCCACCACACCTGGTTTATGCACTGCTAGAGATCAAACCCAGGGCTTCATACATGCTAGGCAAGCAACCTACCAACCGAACTAACGCCCCCTGCCCTAACACTGGTAAATCTTAGGAAGTAAATGTTCTGGTTGGGGATGTCCAGTGGTAGAGCGCTTGCCTAAAATAATGTTCTAAGGAAAGGGAAGTTAGTTGCCTGTAGTCGATGTGTGGGCTGGAACAAATGGCAAATTCTCTTGGCTGCCTTGATCTTCCCTAGGTGGGGACTCAAGGGGAGACCCAGCCTTGAGCTGCAGTAAACTGTGTAGTGCTTGTTTAGGTCTTTCAGTGTGTGCTGGGGCTGGTGGGGACACCATGCTTTCTGCTCCAAGTGTTGCTGCTCTCAAGACAGTG